ATGTGAGAAAGGAACATCCACTTTTCCGTTTTTGGTATAAAGGTTTTGATATAATGTGTCCTTTGCTCGCCGAGGTTTTCCTTATTTATACACACTCTCATCTCTCACATATTCACCCATCACTCCTTCGTCTACCTCTATTTATTAAAATATAACATGTATTATTGTAAAGAAAATTATGATTATAACAGTGTTTTCTCATGATATCTACTGTTGTGAAATATTTTAAATAGTTAATTTTGTCTGTTAATTTTTTGCAAATAAATTAACTGATGTTACAAAAGTTTGATAATCTGTGTGATTTCATTATGGTTTGGTCGATACCTAATTCGTTATTACTTGATATTTTAATAATTATGGAATTTATATTACTTAATATTTTAATAATTACGGAATTTATATAATTTACAAAAAACTTGATTTTTCAAGTGCTTCGTAAAGTTAAATTCTATCACTCATTTCTACTTCTTTTTCCCCATCCCCCTCTATTATTTTGTTTTTCTCCTTTTCAAGAAAAATCATGTTTTGTGTTGAGATATTTTTGATAATGGAACTTCCTTTTTGTTAAATTGATAATGGGACTTCTTTATCATTCATGAAAAATTAATCTACAGTTCTAATAAAAATAATTTATCATTCGTATCTATGCATTGTTACGAAGTTCAGACTCTCTATTTAATGTGTTTTTCTATCACAATTGCTTTCTTAATATTTTTTTTTTTAGATCTTGTTAAGACTGTTGTGTTGTGAATTTGTTTTGTAGATAATACTAAAAAAGATGATTTGCATAGCATAAAAATCAATGAATGATTATAAGACAGAACTTGGTTGTTGATTTTCACGAAAGCTTAAAGGTGTAATATCATTTAATGAAAGTAACGTCTAAAATAGATGTAATTAATTAACTTGTGTCAACTCCATAAATCAAATCATGGAGAAGCTCGCTTAATACATGTCTCTCCCCCACATAAATAAGGTTTTCTTCTCTCTTAATTATATTTTTATTAAATCTGAGATGTGGCTTTGATAATGCGTCCAAGAATCAGTCTCTTTCACAGTCTTAACACCAAAGAGCCCCAACCCTATCACCATACGCA